CTGAGGGAGTGTATCTTCATTTATAAGAGAACGTTTCAAACAAAAAAAGAGAGCTACTCATAGTAAGTTAATAGTTTTACAAAATGGAGAAAAAGAAGAAAAAATTCACCCAGATTGCCAGTGTTCAACTGTTAATGGCAATGAAGGTGAACCTTGAAAGCTGCAAGAAGATGGCAGAGATCACTGGGCATATCTCTGCAGTAACAATTCTCACATCAGCAAAGGAAGAGAAAAACTTTCTCAAAGCAAGAAAACAAAAAAAAAAAAAAAAAAAACAAATGTAGACATTAAATGTTTCTTCTCTTATCTACATTATCTTAGAGCTTAAACAATGGAATTGCCAGCAGTTTGAGATTCTTTGAAACAGTAAAGTATTGTCTTTTGGGGAGGAGAACCATGCAGAACTTCTCCTGACACAAGAAATAATAAAAGAAATGAGAAGATCTCACAAAAGAATTATGAGTAATGAAGAACAAAGATCGATACCTTTGGTTTGGTGATGTGAGGAGGGCAGTAAGGATATGGCAGCGCCTCAAAGTTTGGTCTCTACCAAATTGCCACAAACTCTTCAAACTGGAAGAAATGGAAATGAACAAAACCAAAGTTCTTTATATCTTCATGTATTTCCATCATACCTGTCCCAGGCTGGATTGAAGCTGCCATTGGTTGCTCATGAGCTTCCTCTTCAATCCTTCCACCTCTAGTTAGCAGATTTATCAAAGTTAGCAGAGTGAATGATGAAAGAAACTTCTTTACTGTTTTTCTCCAGACTTGAGTCTTCCTCCGGGAAGCTTGAAAAAACGTAATTCCGCTGCTTGTGGGCGATGGCAGACCCTACAAGATCTTTTTCCCTGTCCTTCGTGAGATCTTCATCCCTGTCCCTCGCACCAACCTGCTCACTGACACTGGCTTTGCCACTACGTACATGTGAGAAATACCTGGTGGAGAATTCTCATGCAACCTTGAGATCTTCTCGCTGGTGATGCTGCTGCTGCTGCTGTGATTCCGACTTACAAATTAGCTCTACCATTGGGACTTCTAGACAGTCAAGGGCAGGAGACACTTTATAAATAATGTAGTATTACAACACAAATACAATTGAGTCTGGCACCAATTCACTTAATTTGTCCAGATATGGCCATGGCCACTATTCTTTGTTTTTCTTAGTTCTCTCTTTCTCTGCGAGTTAATGAAGTTGGATTGGATCCTACCTAGTGTGTCACAATAATTGATACACGTCCATGGGTGTGACGATGCTCCTTGTCTCCAGACTAATTGGATTTGTACAGCACCGTGCCCCTGTAGAGAAACGCATGCTCATTAACCTGCTCTAGAGCACCGTAACCACAGTGAAGCTCACCTTGCCACTGGGTTGAGCAGAAGTGATAGAGCAAACCAGTGACCTCATCAATCTCTGCTGCTCGTGGGTGAAGGCCGACCCTGCAAGATCTTCGTCCTTGTCCCTTGTGATATCTTCGTCCCTATCTCTCGCACTGACCTTCTCACCTGGCTGCTACGTAATCCCAAACTCCTGGTGGAGAATTCTCATGGCCTTAAGATCTTCTCGCTGGTGATGCTGCTGCTGCTGTGATTCCAACTCCAAATCTCCTCTCTCTCTCTCTCTCTCTCTCTCTCCAGCCACTGCTGTCGTTTATCAGATACCGATATGTGGTGGTGCTCAAATTTTGTATCCTGGATCCACATGAGAATGATGTGATAGCAAAGAGCAAGACTTACCTGTAGCATTAAGTCGAATCTACCATTGGGACTTCTAGATAGCCTTTCTGTCACCATACTACCATAAAAAACTGTGACAAAACCATACCCCAACCGAAGAATTTCCTCTAGCTTTGACAACAAAACTTACAAAGCACTATGATTACCTGTATCCCAAGATATTCACTGACTTTCTCCCAAAAAGAATAGATATCAGAGGTTCCACTCTGTAATCAGGACGAAAGGATAAATTTAAACACTGGTCACACAGAAGTATGTTGATACCTATAGGTGACAGGATCATATGGGTGAAATATGTTCATCATTTGCCTGCATGCTGGCTCTTTTTCTTCAATGCCTTCATCTTCCCAGTACTCATGACCTGTTCTTATGCAAACACATTCAAACGACATTGCAAAGACCGTAAATCATACACATACCCACTCAAAAGTATACATTCTGGAGACCCAGAAACAGTGGCGACTCAACTGTGAAAAATGCGAGAAAGAAACTTATCAATAGTGAAGAATCAAGGAGCTTGCTCTACTTGTTTTGTTCCCAATGCTGCACAGTGACACGAGAGAGAGTCAAACATAAAACCCTCAGATATGAACAGCCATAACCGTTATAAGAGAGTGTTCCATCAAAACCGTCCATCTAAAAAATCCAAAGGTAAGAGAATATCTGTCCCCCGATGCCAATAGCACTTTTAAATAAAGAAGTATGATTATACAGGTGGCTCCGGCTGAATGGTAGAATGCTTTTCAAGTCGATCTGGGTGGAAATTTTGAGCGCCTGGCAGCCTTTGAACAGCACACTATTGTGATCAGATGGTCTGTTCACGATTCCGCAAGTGCTGTGGGAAGTCAGAGGTCTCTTTGACGGCATATTTGAGTACAATCTGGACAGTAAAGGAAAGATTCATGAGCACAAGGTATATAACGTAAGGACCAATGCAATCATGCAGCAAACCTCATGGTGTGCAGCCGCGGTGATAAGCTCTCCTGGAAAAATGCTTTGAAAAAAACTGGTTTACCCTTAAAAAAAAAAACGTTTCACCCTCAACTGTTTTTTTGCCACGTCTTTTCATCTCCACCATTAAGCTTGAAAAGAATCTCGATTGAATATGTCACCCTTGCTCTTTTAAAAATAGAAGGACTAGCAAAAGTCCCAGCTACGCTGGGAGCATCGTGTTTATTTCTGATATTTTATTAATTTCAAAAAGTTGTAAGTGTAATTGTAATTTTTAACATAATCATAATTATAAGATATATAGTAAACATAACATAATATTTATATTCAAAATCCTTTATAAAATTGAATCTATCACCAACACACATCATAACATAATAAATCATTACATTATATCATATTTAAAACTGATTGTTTAGTGCAGTGTTGGATCTTCTTAAAATGGAATTGCTCGCTACGGGATCCCATGGCCAAATGAGTCATTTAGAGATTGAGGTTTGATAACTAATGTTTTCTTTTCTTTCAAATCTCTATACAATTGATAAACAATATTATTACTTGATGATTCATTCAACTCTACAATTTTTTCTCTTAAGAAAGTAAGTGTTACTTAAGTACACTAATATAAATATGAGGAAATGACGAAAAGATAAACTCCATAATAATGCTTATATTTCTATAAATTTAAAAGATGTTTGTAGTTTAAGTGAGATTATATATAACCGGTTTATCTTTTTCTCATTTCAGACTGAAAATTTTGGAATTGCATGATACTAAGTCAAAGATGTTAGGTTAATGTGTTATTTCTTCTTTCAAAAACTTTTAATATTTTACATATTTATCTTTGATATTCCCTTTTTACGTAATATTTATATTTATGAATTTTGAGAGTAATATTTAAAATTAGAAGTATTTTATTATTTAAAATAAACATTCTTTTTGTCTATATTTTATATAGAGAGAATGCTAATCTGAAATAAGATTATTATCTCTCAATATTCATCTAAATATATTTAAAATTAAGGCTTTATACCACTGTTATGAATGTTGAAATTTTATTATGATAAATGGATGGTAATGTTTTACTCTATACTGGGGTAGAGTAGGGTTTGATGATATGTAATCTTTTCTTTATGCTAGAATTATAATATATCAGAAAATTCATGAATGTTATATAAATAGGTCTAATATAATAAAATTGCAGTTGTTTTTCATGTATAAATGCAATGTAGGTTTAAGTGTTATAAAATTTTATGATAATATATAAATTTTAGACTATATCTTAGCCATTTGAGAACTCAATGGGTTTAATTTTATTTATGTTTGTATTAATAAGTACCATAAGATTACTGATAAAAAATTATTTTACACAAGATTTATAATCATAATTATAATGTTTAACATAATCAATATTATAAAATATATGTTTAAACATAATATAATATTTATGTTAAAAATTCCTTCTACAATTGACTCTATCACCAACACACATCATAACATAATAAATAAAACTCATAACATTGTATCTTTGATCTTTTATAAGTGGAATTACTGATTATGAGATCCCACTCTTAAGTATAGGTTCAATACGAATGGTTGCACGAGTGAAAATCTAGAAATTAAGATTTTGTGAGAGGAAGAAGCTAAAGCTTTAAAAAATCATACATGTATATAGATGCTCATGGTGGCAGCGGCAGTGATTATTATTTTGTATTCTGCTCTATATGACTTACCATATTTGGTAAGATCTATATCATAGACTCGTAGTTTAAAAAAACAATAGTCTATGTACTAAAATTCAAATTATATTATTAAGATATATGTATATTATAATATTTTTATTACAGTATTGTTATTTTAGTGATAATATTATATTCCAGTATTAAAATTAAAATTATAAAATTATTGATAATATTATCATTTTAATATTTAAAATTATTAAGTAATTCACATATTTATATGTAACAAAAATTATATTTATTAAATCTATTCTGTAGCAATGTTTGCCAATACTTAGTAAATTTAAACAATTTGTAACTAATTACATTATTAAAAATTGTTTTAATCATTCATCAACTTCTACACAACATTAGGTTTGAAAACTCCAACTTGGCTTATACTTAGAAACCTGATACCACACACAACAAATTATAAAAAAATAGTATAAAGAAATAAAACATACTTTTTGTTTTCTCACATATTTTTTCTTTTAAGTGTCAAGTCCAACTATAAGTTTTTGGTATCTCTGTAGCTCTTAAGCTTGCAACGAATCTTCAGATTGTACATCTTGGATCAAATAGAGTCCATTACGGTCAAAAAACAGTATAATCATCATCTTGTAGTGCAGCCAGCTTACATGCAGGCATCTCTACAATTTCATTAGCATCATCAAATGAAACCGCCCATATATGTCCAGTGCTGTCTAGAATACACAAGTGTAGTGCACATTTGAAGTGAATATCTCCAGAATCAGTGTCACAAGAGTTGCATTGCCACATACTTTCTGAAACCTGAGTAACCTTCTTGCCACATTGCCTTCCATTGACAACCTTCATGCATGCTGGGTAATAGAAGTCACCAGTCTGGAATTCTTTCACTGACACAATAACACAAAAAATAGCAGAGAACTCAGAAACCTTCAGGTTGATAGACAACATCTCAGATACTGTCTTTGTAATCACTGCTTTAGAAAAAGAGTTGGTCACATGGACAAATATGGTTGTGTTGTAGCTAGCAACCATCCATTCACACAGCCATGAGACACCTTCTAATTCAGGATCAAGTAAAAGGTTAGAGCCACCTGTGACTGAAATGGACTTGCCATTGTAATCTGAAATCCAGCTGCCCTTCATGCATACAATAGGCCTCTCCTCTTGTCCATTTTTCTCCTTGATTTCTGAACCTTCATCTTCAGCCTTTGAATCCCACAGACACATGTCTATACTGTGGCCCGATTCATCACTCAAAGAAAGCATCCTCCTTCTCACGAATGCTCCAGAATCCTTAGGAGAAATGTTTGTCCAATCCACATTACACTGCCAATCACATCTACAAATGTCCCTTGGCCGAGCTTAGAAGCATCTAAAACACTCGTTCTATTAAGAACAACATTTGGAATACGTAGATTGTCCTCTACACACTTGATCTCCATAGTCTTGCTTGCTTTTATCTCCCAATTTGATTTATATGGTGTATATGCTGGTTTAGAGCGCTGTACACCACTGTTCCCTGAAAATATAGACACTGCCTTGCTCAATCTCGTGAAAGATTCTTTGCATTCTCGCCAAACCCAGCAATACGTATTTCGGAACTTTATGCATCGGCAACATCAACTGACATAACACACCCAGCTGTGCCTGTTTCAAAGAATACAAGTTTCCCTTTGCGTGTCACCTTGGCATGAAAAGACCATCGGTAGCAGTGGCCGCTGTCCTTAATTGGTATCTCACCTTCTTAGAACTCTCTCCCTTGACATGAAACAAAAAAATAAAAAATGTAATAATGTTATATACATACATACGTAATGTAATTAGTTACAAACAATTTGTAACTAAATAACTAATTTGTAATGTATTTAGACAAAACTAACATTAGTAGTCGTAGTGCTTTACATTTATGTTTATTTTTTATAAAAGAAATATCAGAAGAAAAATCTGGGAGTGTCATATATATTTCAGTTGTTAGCTTTTCGTTTATATTGTTTCTTTATATTAACAAAGAAATATTCAAGCATGAGATTTCATAGGTGGTTATGTTAAAAGTTTTGTGTGAAAGTATGGAAAGCTTACTCAATTGTAAGAAGAAGTTCAGCCTTTTCTATATCATGTTTTTTAAATACATATTCTGTAATTACTTTAACCTTGAAGGATATGCACTTTGGTGTTCATTGGATCACCAATGGGCACATCTAGATTGTAAACATCTATCACTTTGGCTTCAGTTCCATCGTCTTGGACCGTTGACACAACTTTGCAATCTCTAGAGACAGACCAGATATTCTTCTGGCTGCTTGCTGAGCAGAACATTAAGTTGTAGTTATCTGAGTGAGTAGAGCACGTCATAATCCACGAGTTTTTGTCACGAACGTGCCTCAACAATCCACACACAGTGGGCCCGTATATTTGATTGGAGTGTACGAAGCAGTGTGATCCACGCAATGCCATTATATACATCTCTTTCTAGGTATGTAATACATTAGTGGGAGAATTAGGAATGTTTGTAAACAGCTGGTTTACAAACCTTCTGATGTTGAAAGGTTGGGAATATATTCAATGGAATCGTTGCCCCCATCAATGAAAGTTCCCATGTAAGTCAATGTTTGAAGTGCCTTGCCTCAAGATAAACAAATCACAAACTTTAATGAGCATATCACCTCAAGTGCTGGGTTCTTTCAAATGTTCCCCATGTTTCCGTGCAAAGATCCAGTGCATTGTTCTAGACTCTGACCAATTCTGCATAAAAGCTTCACATGCTTCAACATCAGAAATCAAAGAGTAAAGGCACAGATGTAAAGGCAAAGGTTTATTTTTTGAAGGAATGTCAAAGTTTCTAGAATGCAAGAACTTGTTGATTACACTTTGAAAGTGAGGTAAGCTTTTTCTCTTTCTGGTGCAAATGCTAGCACATCTTTGGACTCACTGATTAAGAATTTTCCCTTTGGTGGATGTCCAAACATGTAGTGTTTGGCTTTTGTAGGGTCTTCATTCCAAGACACTTTTGTTCCATATAGTTGATCAACCAAATGCGAAGGTATAGTTACTTGGAACGTGTCTTGTCCAAGGTGAAGCTGGGCCTTTAGCGTGATGTGTTCCTTTATAGGTCCCGCATATTTACATATTTTACATATTGCTTCATCTTTAGAAGTTTTTTGCAATCTTGATCCACAGCATGATGAACAAACTGTGTGTATAAAAACTAGACGGAGCTTATCTACTTCAAAGTATCCAGGTATCTGCAAAAAAACATGTATTTAATATGGGCTTCTTTCATTTCCTTTCGCACTTACCCCTGTGCATTCCCTTGCAATATTCCGAAAAATAGTGTCAAGGAATTATTTTTGCATCATCTATTATACATGAAACAATGCTCATGCCTGTGACATTTGCTCTCTTGAAATAACCGTCTCCTTGTAAATTAATGAAACATCTTGTTGGTAGAGTTCCAGAAAAAAATTCATTCATCAACTCTTTGAATAATACCATCATGTTGCCATGGAATTTGAGCTGTCATCATATAGATTATTGTCAGGAATCCACATGCTATATTGAACTTACTATTATCATATCAGACTCATCGATGTTATCTGCTATTGTGAGTTGACCACTGTTTTAGCCTATATCATTGATGCTCACTACAACACCTTCAACAGAACCTACAGAGTCTCGGCCTCTACATGACTCCACAAAGTTTGCAATGATGACAGTTGGTACAGACAGACGAAGTTGTGGCACTATAAGCTATTATCTAAAAGCTTACATTTTCTTCTTAGCATAAGAGATGCTCATCATTGTGGTGGGTCAATAAAAAGAGATATGACAGATGCACTGGGCCTGGGTTGGAACTCAAGTCATCATGTTGTTTCGCATTTCTCTAGCATGACCCCACATTCAAATATATATAACCACAGATACCACCTACTCAAAAATAAACTGGACATAACCATATAGAAAGAAAAATAGGCAGCTAGCCTCTTCCCACTCTTTCATGCACTGTGCTCCATGCACAGTGTGCGAGTGGAATCCCGAATGGGACAGCCTTTAGCCCAATGAGCAGGCCAGGCTCAAGGCTCAGCAGGGCGTGAAATACGTTTGCCTTGACAGCTTACAAGTGCTCAACTCTGAAACTCTGGAACCGGTTGCCAAGGACAGTGTCACCATTGGCGAAGTTTGCATGCGTGGGAACATGCTGTTCAAGGGGTACTTGAACAATCCTGAGGCAATGCTGGAGAGCTTGAGAGGAGGATGGTTCCACTCCGGGGACTTGGCAGTTTGGCATCCCGATGGATACATCAAGATCAAGGATCGAGCCAAGGATATTATCATTTCTGGAGGGGAGAACATTAGCAGCCTGGAAGTGGAGAGCATCTTGTACAGGTAAAAGGAGAGTTTTTTCTTCTTTGTTTCTCGTTAAAGTTTGCTTCTTTTCCTTCCAGGCATCCAGCAGTGTTGGAAGCTGCTGTGGTGGTGTGGCCAGATGAGCAGTGGGGCGAGTCTCCATGTGCATTTGTGTCCCTCAAGCACAGCGTGAGAAGCAACAAGGAGGAGATACTCTCGTTCTGTCCACAGCATTTGCCAAAGTTCATGGTGCCAAAGAGCGGCCTTGGACAAAACCGTGACTGGCAAGATCCAAAAACAGGTGCTGCGTAGCAAAGCAAGAGCTCTTGGCAGCGTCAAGCAAATCAGCAAGCTCTACAAGCCAACTATTGAACTTGTAAAGCTTGAAATCGTTCACGGCTTGGAAATCCCCAGTCTAGCTTGGCAATTTTAAACCGGTCAGCTACTATTCCGTCTGTTGTAATGACAAATAAATAAATAACATGCAAGAACCAAGAACGCAATTCATCTACCTCAAACAGTAGCTTTGTCTTATCAGCTGTCACTCTTGCATATCCAAATGCCGACCTTCAAATCAAGCTCCATGAACTAAACTGTCGACAAAAAAAAAAAAAAAAGGTAGAATATCAATACCATATAAAGAGCTTGAATATAGGAAAGAAAGCTGGAAGCTTACATTACAAGGGAAGTCATCCAGGCTGAATTCGGCCATGCCAACCACGGTGTGAACTGGAGCTGAGTAATTGTAGTGTCAAAGAAATCGACGCCCGCTAAATCCTTGATCGGGTGCTGCAGGCAGCGGCCCTGAAACACAGCACAAGTTCGCTCGTAGTTGTGACCATGCCCTCACACTGCTAAATCAACCTGTGCAAAAAAAAAAAAAAAGAAGAAAAATGACAGTTTCATTCTAGTTTTCCCTTTGAAGAGCTCATGTTTTACCTTGTTTCTCAAGAGCAATGGTTCCACAGCTGCTACAAATTTCCGATCCACACCTGGTAAAGTTTAGAAATAATTCTCCACAGTTGAGTGAAGTACATAGGTCGATGACTAGCACACATGAGTTTAGAGAATGAAAATGTGGATAAAAACAGTTACCCTGTGAAAACTATCCATGGTGTACTGAATCTGTCGACAGATTCAAGGTCGGATTTCATCCAAGTGTACTGTAAAAGAAGGTTTCGTTGAAGTAAAGATGAAAAGAATAAGAATGCATACTTGTTCCCTGGTCAAGCTCCAGTCATGTTCTGTAGAGATGACTGTGAAATGCATGGGGCTGATAGCCATCGAGTACCATATGTCTTGGACAGGCATCCGAAAATAAGTTCGATATGGGACTCCACACTTGCCACCTGAGTCTGGTGTGTTATACAAAGATCCTGAGCCTGGATAATATCTAGAAACCACACAGATCAATCTACAAGTTTTCGTAAGACTTTGTGAGTACCTCTTGTGGTTTTCAATGGCTGTCATGTACACAGTCTTGGATGCTACTGGAACAGTGACAGAGAAATGGAGGCAAGACCCGACAGCTACGTTGTGGATAGATTTGTAAAAGAGAAAGCAAGCCATGCACTTTCAGCCAGCATAGCAGAACACGTAAACCAACCTTATCAAAGACGGGGCACCATGCACTCAGCACCATGTACGCAGCACCATTTCTCACCAGAAGAAAATATAATTCCGAAGTACACTGAAAGAGAATTCTGCACATAATCCCACACACAGGGAAAGCAGGAGAGAGGGAGAACCTTCATAGCCCATAGATTTGCCTGCTCTTTGCATAGCACCCTGTGGTTCTCCTCACTCTCATTCGCCCTAAAAGCCACAATTAAAAAAATTCTGATTTGAAAAGTTACAACCTTTTGTAATTATATCTCAGCCATTAGATCTTGGCATATGCCCAGAATAAGTGTCCCCAGCATATGCTATTATTACTAGCAAGGAATCCAGCTCCACTGGTCTGGACCTAAATAAGTCTTTGAAAACACTTTACTGGGATAGAAAAGTTATAGCTAATAGTGCAACATAGAATAAATTAGTGTGTATTGTATGCTTCTAAGATTTATCATGAGCATTTAAAAAATCTATAAGAGTAATAATAATCACAAAGCCTTTTATAAGAGAAATCAAGTTTACAAATAATTAATTTGCTTTTAATTTGTAATTATTTAAAAATAAATGATAAAAAGATTAGCAGGGATTCCAGCAGAAATAAAATCAGGGATCCCAGCTCTGATGGGAAGTAGATATAAAAGTCTGTAAATGTAAATTAGTTTTCTGATATAAAGATATACTTTAATGATTCTGTAAATTAATATTTGTTCATTTTTGAGGTTCTAATAATATTTCCTGAACTTGTGTTACTTAAGTGGTTAATAGGTTTAACGTATTTAGATTGTCATAGCTTACCCAGACAAGTTTTGATTGAAGCCAAGCAGGCATTGCAGCCTTGAAGCCTTGGAGGACTTGTACCTTCTATGGAGCACAATCGGTCTGTGCCATATTGCCAACAGAAAGGCTTCTTAGTGTAGAAAATATTTTTAACAGTTAGAGAAAAGCATGAATGACAACAGCGTAGCCATGTCCTGCCCCACCGAGGACATGACCACATGGCAAGTGCTCGACCTCAAGCACAAATCTTGACATATCCATTCATGCTCTTGCCATTTGAAACAGGTTCTTTAGCCCAACATTCATGCTCCTAGCTGCATTCCTAGCTTTCTTACTGCTTAGATTCATGGTATCTAATGATACCATGCAGAGGTAGCCATGAGGTGCTGGTTTTTATCCTCTCAATGCTTCCAGAGTAGAGTTCCCTTGCAAAGCCCTACTTTCACAACATTGCTTTCTTTGGGGAAGAAGTATGTGGTCATGGCAGCTCCCAGGGTCAAAGAGTATCTCAGGGTTGAGTAATGGTAGAAAGTTTTAAGAAGTTTTACTGCTCATTCAATCTGGAAGCCTGCTACTCATCAGGAGAAGGATTGGAAATCTAGGAGACACTATCTACTCCTAGAGAGGTCTCTGCTGGAACCAGCAATGCTATAGGTTGGGTCCAGAAAAATGCTGTTATGTCATCCCTTGAGAGGAGCAGTGAGGACATATCCAAGTTATAGCCGCCAAAAATAGGGTGACAAAAGATGAGGCTTTGTAGATGATGTGACCCAGAAATGAACAATGAGTCAGCAAGGGCTGCTGTGTGATGAGTCACACCTCTGGAGTTACTCCAGTTCAATCCCAAAGTGGATCTTTGCGC